TTTCCCGTTAGGTTTTTAAGTATCTATCTGATTCCCTTTGGAAAACAAATATGGATTCTGCCTCAACTGTTGCTTCCGGCAGGTCATTCCATATACTAACCGCTCAGTGAGTGAAAAAGTTCCTCCTAACCTCCCCATTTGCTCATTTGCTGGCTGTCTTAAATTGATGCCCTCTGGTCAATTTGCTCTCTCAGATGTTTTTCTGGTCATGCTTTCAGCCACTACGCCTCAAAACTTGGGAACTCTCTCCGCCTTGCCCCTCCTTCCCCATCTTCAGGTCATGCTGTTAATAACCTTCTGTATTTGTAGGAAGGAGCACAGAGTTGGATGAGAATATACAAATGAAGTTTCGCCAGCACGTGATCCAGCACAAGATCCCGGAAATCTTCATTTACGAATTCCCTTCTTATGGTCAGTCCCTTCCCAGGAACTCTTAGCTTTCTGAGCAAAACCACAAAATATAGAGTCAATTCACAGTTTACAGTATATCCTGTGAAGCGTTTTGAGATGTCTCGAAGACGTGATGAGGCGCTATATCAAATGCAAGGATTATTATTATTATTATTATTATTACCAGCAATAAAATTGGTCACTCACTTCGTGGCTGCTTGTGCAGGAGCAAATTAGCTGCCGAGTTCACCTACAAAACACAAGGTCGCTACCGACTGCAGTAAATCCTGAGACGTTTGAGACATTTCAATATCATAGTGATATATATCAAATCCAAAGATTATTATAATGATGATTACCACTATTATTATTTGTACCAGCAGCCACTGTAATATTATTCCACAGCAGCACTTGAGGCTTGAGTGTTTGTGAGCTGTTAGCTGAGCTGGGCCCTATTGCACACAACGTTGCGATTGTTGAAAGGTTGATTGATTTTGCTTGTTCTGTCTCTTTCAGGCCATTGCCAGTCAGCGGATGAATTTCACAGACTGGGTAAATCCATTCTTTCCTTTCAGAGCGTGGGAACTTGGGTGCTGGCCTGCACTGCTCAGTCAGGAGCACTCTCGCTTCTAAGCCAGAGGAAATCTGCAATTTCCTGATTTGGCCAATTTTTTTTTCAGCAGGGGCGTTGGGGCGGGGGTGGGGTGGTGGGGCGGGGGTGGTGGGGGGGCGGAGGCATGGTTCAAAAAGAAAAATAGCCGGCCATTCCCTCCTGCACAGTTACATGGAATTATATTGGCACGGAAATTGGCCATTTGGGCCAACTAGTGCTGGTGTTTATATTTCAAAGGAACCCCTAATCCCTCAGTCTCCAGAGAGGAAAACTCAATCTATCCAATCTTTTTGTTCACTTATCCACTCATCCCTGTCTTTTGGAAATGGGATTGACATGATTTGGGAATATTATCCCTGGAATTTCCTATGGAATTCTCTTTGGGCACTAAGTGGGGAAAAAGTCATCAGACGAGCCTGGCTTCAGCAACAGAAAGGATAACGGAGGGAGATGTGTTCGACTGACGCTCCAATTGTTTTGTTTGTTTTCCAGACGACAGTTAAAACGGGGAAAAGAAGGAAGCAAAGTGTGAGCGAGTGTTGCTCACAGGGTTCCCATGAAGTGGGGCTTTCCATGTAACAGGTCAACAGCAACAACAACTTGCATTTACATAGCACCCCTCACGCAGAGCGACCTGTGTTGTTCCATTCAGTTCAACCAAATAAAGCCAAGTGTGATAAGAAATTCATGGTTGTGTTGTGATCCTCTTGATTGTGCTCCTCTCTCCTCCCACGTTAAATAAAACCTGTCTTTCTCCATCAACCATTCTTGAAGTGAACGAACTGGGACGTTTCCTAACGACACTGCTTGCTGTACCTTGGGTTGTAATCAACCTCTTTATCTCCGAAACAGGCCCTGCATCAAACGCTATTCATTATCATTTAGGATGACACCATCTGCATTCAAGGTGCTAACACCAGCACCCGCTCCTGCAAATATCTGTTCAGTTGTGAAACCAAAGCTAGATAACAGAAAACAGGGTAGTAAACCGGTGACTGAAGACACCGGCAAGATTATAGATCTTTTAACATTTTGGAATACACTTTCTATTTAAATTATAATACATATAATAATAATCCTTGCATTTGGTAAGTGCTTTTAAAATCGTTGCGATGTTGCAAAGCGCTTCACAGAGTATACTGTAAAGTGAATTGACTATATTTTGTGGCCAAAACGCGACAGCCAATTGTGCACAGCAGCGACCCCACAAACAGTCGTGGATTGAGTGACTTTAAGTTATTATTTTTTGAAGGGATTATCACCTCTGGAATTTGATGCACCAATCGACTAACAACCGACTAACGAGGAGGGTGGCCAAAAGCTTGGTCGAAGAGAGGGGGTTTGAGATGCGCCTTGAAGGAGGCAAGGGAGGGAGCGAGGCGAAGAGAATGGAGTTCCCTAGGGTGGAGGCAGAAAGGCTGAAGGACTGACCGCTGATAGCGGGGCAGGCCGGGTGGGGGATAATACTATTATTAAATAATACTTATACTAATAAGGAATCACGCAATAGAGCAGCTCTTGTCACTCCTGCTTTGCCTCGAGGGCTCAGTGCTCACTTCCAATGGTCACAGTTATGTGGTGTTTGTTTTCAATCAATCCGCTACGGGCTTTGGTGCTTAATTGGTCACAAATGTTGTTTGCACCGTGTTTACAGCACGCTGGATCAGTTCTCGTTGCAGAATAAAAATATACGATTCACGTTTATGTTGGGTCTTTCACGTCGGGAGGATGTCTCAAAGCACTTGAAATGTAAGGTCCGAATGATTAGGAAGTTCTTTGCAGCAACTGGGTCTGATTCTAAATATTCCTAATTTCCAGTTGATCTAATTCATATTTTACATTTTCTGCAACATATTTATGTTTTCTAATGTTCTCCCCCCTCTACCACCGTGAGGGAAGTCTCTCGGTATAACTATATAACACGTATATGATACTAATATATATTACTATATAATATAATAATATCCGTATTAAACAACGATTTGTTGGACACGGTTTGTGCGCAATCGGCTGCCTCGTTGCGCCCACAAAATGCACAGTATATTCTGTGAAGCGCTTTGAGACGTCTCAGTAATGTGATGAGGCAGGCGCAATATCAAATGCAAGGATTAGTATTATTATTATTACTACGGTGGTGTTCTCCTGCTATCGATGCGAGATTGCACCTGATTTCTTGGAGCGTGAGTAGCGTCTGCGAGACCGCCTCCGCTCTCTAGCAACCAGTTGATCGGCCAGTGATCGTGCCTGGCACCGGGAAGGCTGACAAAATGCTGAGGACAGAAACCTCTGTGGAAAAAAAAGGAGTCAGTTTCGTTGTAAAAACAATGGGATGATTCACTATTTAATCGGTTGCACATGTTGTTTACAGTGTGCATTTACATAACAGCCCTGCTCTGCCCTCTAGTTCATTCTCGCCTCTCAGTTGTTGCAGAATAAAAATCGCAAACCACATGGCAAAGGGCAGATTCTGCTGGTTAGCACTTCTGTTTGTCATACCAGCGTCCACCAACCTCACGGCCGTTTACAACTCCCTAATTTCCAAGTTATTTTACGCTTGAATTTACATCACAGCTCACAGACGTTATGTGAAGTATTATTTGTTCATGAGCTTTAACCGCTTTAATAATAATAAATAATCCTTGCAATTGGTGAAGCTCCTCATCATGTCTTTGAGACATCTCAAAGCGCTTCACAGGAAATACTGTAAAGTGGATTGACTGTGCATTTGGTAGGTGAAACACGGGAGACAATTTGCGCACAGCAGCGTCCCACAAGCAGCCATGGAGTGAGTGAACGATTTTATTTGGGGGGATTGTTGGCCAGGACACTGGACGAAACTCCCTTCTCTTTTCGAATAGTGCTATGTCCACTTGAAGTGGCAGATGGGATCTCAGTTTAACATCTCATCTGAAGGACGATGAGATGTTAAAGTAATCCAGGTGTCAGCCTGGCTCAGTTGGTAGCACTCTCACCTCTGAGTCAGTGGGTTCAAGTCTCATGTCCGAACTCATAAGTTGGAGGTACATACAGAGCTGGGGGGGATGGGAACTGCCTCACGTTCAGGTGGACATTATAAGATCCCATAACATTATTTGAAAGGAGAAGGGAGTTTCTCCTGGTGTACTGGCCAACAAACCTCCAAGTAAAACTTGTCATTCACTTTGTGGCTGTTTGCATGTAGATTTGCTGCAAAATACAGAGTCACTATACTTTACAGTAAATCGTGTGAGGCGCTTTGAGGTGTTTCACGCAAGTGAGAAGGCTCTGTATAGTAACGAAGACATTTGATACAGCGTACTTCAGTCTCAAAGAGCTTCACAGGATTTTACTATAAAGTATAGCATGATAAGGCACTGTATCAATTGCAAGGATTATTATCATTATTATTATTGAGAAAGTGCAGAGCAATGCCAGTGATGAGAGGTTTTCCTTATGAAGTACCATCGGAGGAACCCTAGAACACAACAGTAAAGAGAAGATTGAGATAAGAGCTCTCTTTTTAAATCTATGAAGGAAGTTTGAAATTGTTTTTCTGTAGCCCTTAGAGTAAGAATGTTTGTAGTAATCAGTATTTGTGAGTGAATGTGACAGCTCAATTTCACACAGCAATGTCCCACAAACAGCCATGAAACAAATAACCTATTTGATTTGGGGGAATTACTGGTCACAACATCAGGAGAAACTCACTTCTCTTTTCGGACAGTGCCATGGGATCTTTAAAGTCCACCTGAACAGGCAGACGAGACCTCGGTTTAACTCATCATGTGCCTATCAACTGAGCCAGGCTGACACCTGGATTGCTTTTAACGTCTCATGAGATCTAACCAATACGCTAGAGAACTCCACATTAGATACTGAATGTATCTATTAAACAAAACTATTATTTTAAGGCATGGTTATTTATTTCTCCCTGCCGGCTGTGCTCACTTTCGTCCAACCCTTGTGGTGAAATAGTTAATATCTGTTATGCATCCTGACTTTCTGAAAAAATCTTGATGTTGTATAACGCATTGAAATGAGTTCAATATGCGTGATGTAAGGTTCATTGTCAGCCACGCTGACGTGAGACACTTTCTGGTGCATAAATAAGTGATCCCACACACACAGCGCTGTGACAAGGGACGAGCTTTCAGTGTGTGTGTTGAGAGCAACTCTGGTCGCAGCAGCAGCAGCAGCAATGAGAGCAACGGTGTTGGCGATTGGGGTAATTGTGCTCTGTGCACTGACTGTGCATGGAGATATCCCAGTGCAGAAAAACTTCGACCTCAACCAGGTACTCTCACCAGTTACACCTCTCTTCTATTGTGGAGTCCCGTAGCATATTGGTTAGCACGTTCGCCTTGCAAGCCAGAGGACCCTCAGAGAGAGGGATTCAAACAAATAGTGAGATGGACTAAAAACTGGTCACTTCAATCCATGACTGTTTGTGGGACACTGCTGTGCGCAATCCTCTGCCGTGTTTCGCCCCCGCAAAAAATAGTCAATTCACTTTACCGTATAGTCTGTGATGCGCTTTGAGAGGTCACAACCACATGATAAGGCGCTGTATCAAATGCAAGGATTATTATAATTGTTATTGTTGAGAGGGTGCAGAACGATGCCAGGGATGAGAGGTTTTCCTAGAACAGAACAGAACAGATCAGAGAAAATTGAGGTGGAGTTCTTTTTTAAGAAATTACGATGTATTTACAACTAAAGCGGACGGATTTTTGAGTCTCAGGCAATTTAAGAGCTGGTCACAGGGCTGCCCGGAGTGGCTGCAGGTGTCCGTGTTACTGACGCCTGCGTTTAGTTCCTAGGGAAATGGTACGTGGTGGGAATGGCCTCGGACGCACAATGGTTCCTGGGGAGGAAGGACAAGTTTAAGATGAGCACCATCATCATGGCACCCGGAGAAGATGGGCACCTGAACGTCACGCTCATCAAAAACAAGTGAGAACTGAGGCCAATTTTATTGCACCATCTTGCCCCCTCCCCATTAGGGGTTTTGAGCCTGTAGTCAAGGCTGACTCTCTCTCGAGAGCAGTGCTGGTGGGGGTGGGGGAGGTGGGGGGGATGTAGGGTAGGGGTTGCGCTGTATTGTCAGAGGCATCATCCTTCTGCTGATGACAGCACAGCCAGGCTGACTTGGAGGAGCAAGCCAATCACTAGGAGTGAGATTTTTCGTGTCAATCTTACAAACCGAAGCCCTAACGGTGAGAATGGTCCTAGCTGGATAAGCAGAGGGTAGCTTGCCAGCGAGCGTTCGAAATTTTAGCAGGTTAAACTCCGGCGGTACCCCAATGCACACACTGCCTGCCTCCTGCCAATCTGCGCCTAATACTTTCCGGAATTAGCTGAGCAGTGTGCATCCCTCCCGGGAGAGAGAGATCTTCCCATTATAGGCGCAGGGAAATTTCCATGCGTAGGTGGAACTCTCACTGGAGACTCTTAAGCACGGCGTTGGGTTAACACATGTGTCAGTCACGCTGGCTGGCACGAAACCGTACAACAAACAAAATAATAAAGTGGAAAATTGGCTTCCAAATGAACATCCACACCTTAAGACTAAAATGGACACACAGGGTAAGGATAGGTGGAATTTCAGGTCTGATGTTAATAAATAGTGTAAAATTTCCTTTCCTATCCACCCCCGATGTTTGGTGTATGTGTGAATGTGATGCTGGGTTCTGCAGAGCCGCACAAGCACAACACAGTAACCATCATTGTTATTTTACAGGGTTGGAGGCTGCTGGCAAATGGACTTTGTGTACAACAAGACAGATCAGGAAGGACGTTTCAAGTACCACAGCAAACGTTAGTTGGGGTTTTAACTAGAGCTTCTTCCTCTGTTATCTCTCTCTCTCTCTCAGCACCAGCTTACTCCTGCTAAATGCCCAGAGCCAAGCCCGGCGTGGAGGGCTCTATAGAAATGCAAGTTGCTGTTGTTGTTACTGGCTTTCACCCTCTGTTTGATTCTCTGCCCATCTCTCCGTCCCATTCATGCCTCACTATTCCTGTTTCTTTCTCTGACTTTTTCTCTTTCCCTCACACTATGTGGGATGTCCTTCCGACATGAAAGGTGCTATATAAGTGTAATTTGTTGTTATTGCTGTTGTTGTCTATCTACCCTTCTGTCACTCTGCCCATCTCTCTGTGACTATTTCTCTGTCCTTGTCTTTGCCTGCCTCCCTGTGTCTCTACTTCTCTGTCTGTATCTCTGCCTCGCTGTTGCTCTTGTCTCTCTACTCTTATCTGATATAAGACATGTGGATTTCCAATTTATTTGTAGGTTGGAATAATGACAATGATGTCCGAGTTGTGGAGACTAACTATGATGAGTTTGCCCTGGTTCACAGTATTAAAACCAAAGGCGATGAGGTCACGATGCTGGTGAAAATGCTCAGTGAGTAAAAGCCCTCACTCCTGCCGGGTCCATGTATCCACCACCATGCTTAAGAGTTTCCAAACTGCACAGCACAGCACATCCTGAAGGGAAGGTGCACAATATTCCCAATTTAGCTTCGCCAGTCAGGGTTACACAACGTTTAACCAGTCTGGCCATCAGCTTTTCTGTCCCCACCCTCTGGAACTCCATCCCTGAATCCCTCACCTCCCCCCTCCCTCGCATCCTTCTAGGCGCAACTCAAGACCTTCCTCTTTGACCGTGCCTTCAGCCACACTCCCACCCCCAATTCTCCTTCCCCTGCCTTGATTCTAGCCCCCAACTTGGGTGCAAATGCTTAACTGTCCAGTGTCCTTCGCCATCTTTCTGCTGTGAAAGATGTTATACAAATGTCATTTTTTACTGTTGTTCACACTGTGATCTCCTTTGACTTGGTGTTGTTACAGGCTTGAGGTCCACACACAGTGTGAAATGCAATAGATCAGATAGTGCTGAATAAATGTAAACATACAAAACCTGCTCACCAAAGATCCAGCCTAACTGTCCTTTACTGTTTCCAGGCAGAGGCCAGGAGCTGAGGTCAGAGCTTGTTAAGGAGTTCAGACAATACTGTTTTGCCCAAGGACTAAATGAAGATAACATTCAAATGTTCCCCAAAGAAGGTAAAACACAGTTTTACTGAACAATCACATATACACAGTGCGACATATACACAAACTACATATACATACTACATATATCACATACACCCAGTATTACATCTACACACAACTGCATACACACAGCGCTATGAATACACACTTCTACATATACACACCATTGCTAAATATACAGTACACACTGCTACACGTACACACCGCTTCACATGCACACAACATATTCGGACAGACCTCTCTACATGTACACATGGCTGCATATTCAAATAATTTCAAACAATTCAGCACTTGTCACAACTTTTGTCAAAATGAAATCATCACTTCCCCACCTGTTAATTTTCCGTTTCTTTGCTTCCCACAGAAGAATGCCAACCAAGCCGCAATTGGGTGAGTGGTCTTAATCCAGTGTCATGTCTCTGCACAAACTGGGTGTTTGCCCACAAAATAAACAGTCAATACACTTTATATCCTATGGATGGCTTTGAGACGTCTCAACGACGTGATAAGATGCTATATCAAATGCTAGGATAATAATTATTATTGTTATATAGAACTATTCATATTGAGAGAATGTCTTAAAGCACTTCACACGCCTCTACGGATCTAAATGTCCCTTTTTTTGTTTTACAGATTTAAACGCAGAAAATGACAGAGAAATGTTCAGCAATAAAAGTAGGATTAGTGTTTCAAATATAACAAGATGCAAAGAACATTCACCTGATGGACACACTTTATATTGGAGCGCTGTATTCACACTTTTATGCAATAAACTATAAACAAGTAGCAAACTGTTGCCTTGTCTGTTTCATACTTATCTGTCATTTATGTCCATAATTTCACATGAGTGGGTCGATACAATACACATTTACATTTATACAGTGCCTTTCATCTTGGGAAGACTTCCCAAAGCACTTAACAACATCAACAACAACAACCTACATTTGTCTAGTGCCTTTCACGTCAGGAGGACGTCCTAAGGCGCTGGACAGTCAGGGATTTGCTCCTGATGATATGTGTTGTTCTTGTTGTTGTCTTAGTACGGATCTAGATTGACTCAACTTCACTGCACGCAGAATTTTCTGCAAGATTCTTTGAAAAAACAGAAAATAATGAATTCAAAGTTCCGTCTGAATTCAATAATTTGCCAAGTTCCAGACTCTCTGAGAAGTAACAAAAAATGATCCTGGAAAGGGGAGTGTGGGTGGGGGGGGGGGGGGGGGGGAAGAGGGTTTTGTTTTCCCCCAGATAGCCCCTATTGACAACCACTTCTCACCCACAAAATGCACAGTCACTACACTTTACAGTATACGCTGTAAGGTGCTTTGAGAACGACTTGAAGATGTGATACGGTGCTACATCAAATGCAAGGATTATTATTATTATCATTATATGAAATGCACAGATTATTGCTCAAAGCGTTAATGCTGGAGCTAATTTAAAGAATAATTCAAATCACCGCTACAATTATGGTGACGCAGCCGGAAAGATAAAAGTTGCTTGTTATAAAACCAGGTTCACTGAAAAGAGTTGCTGATATCTGCAATTTAGGAACGTGGGATTTTGGGTCAAGGCTTTCTCTGTGACAAACAAATAAACAAACTGATAGTCCCAGTTCATTCTGAGCTCTTGCAATAATTACAAGAGAAAGCCAAGACTGACTTTTTTTCCCTGTTCCCTCTCTCACCCACCCCCCAAAAAAGAGGATTGAAGCATTCATGGGAGTGTGAGGTTTTTTGTTATTTTCGTTTGGGGGTGAGATTTGTCCTCATTCTCTCCTCGTTGTGGGCAGTGAGACAGCTTTGCAAATGTACTGGTCTTCATGTTTTGTTGACTTCTCAGTGGTTTGATCTGGGATCAGTGATTAACTAGAAATGTCAACGTAGGTACATTGTGCAATCTGACTCCCCACATGACTGAAGGCTGGACACCTGAGATATTAACCTGATTTACTTTCAATGCCTCAGTTAGTGACTGACCAACACAACTGAGAGAATGGGGCGAGCGTGTCTTCTGGTTTTGGCAATCTCCTCTCTGTGCTTTCTCCTGAAGGCAGTAACTGGAATGCCTGTTGAAAGTGGCATTCCTGTTCTGGAGAATTTTGACGTCACTCCGGTAATATCTAGTTTTTCTATACAAAATGTTTGATTCATTTCCGTGGAAGTCCATGACTTAGACTGTAGTTAGACTGGAGAATGGGTTTATAATAATAAGCCTTTGATGTAGCGCCTGTCGTATCGGGTGGGACGTCTCAAAGCGCTTCACAGGATTTACTTTCTGTGACTGTACTTTTGTGACTGTGCATTTTGTAGAAGAACGTAATTTTTCACAAAGCAACGTCCCACAAAATAACCAGTACATAATACAGTATATTCTGTGAAGCGCTTTTGAGATGTATCAACTGCATTGTAAGGTGCTATATCAAATGCACACGTTTAAGCTAGCAGTAAGTAGGAATCTGGTTGTTAATCGATCGGCGGATCGCTTTTTGCGGGCTAATAAATCTTTAAAAAAATAAATTGGACACTTCAATTCACGACTGTTTGTGGGACACTGCTGTGTGCAATTGGCTGCCGCGATTCATCCACAAAATATACAGTCAATTCACTTCACGGTATATTCTGTGAAGCGCTTTGAGACGTCTCGAAGACGTGATAAGGCGCTATATCAAAGGCAAGGATTGTTATTATTATTATATAAGATGACCGCGTACTTCGCAAAATGAATGCATTTTGTCTGTTTCTTCTCCCAGTTTCTCGGGAAGTGGAACAGCATTGCCTTGGCAACTGATTACCCCAGGATACAGCAGATCAGGGCCGAATTGAAGATGACAACGTATTCTTTGGAGGAATCTGACCAGCCTGGCAAAATCCATGCTTCACATTTGTTTTATGTGTAAGACGCAGGGTTTGTGTGTTCCGTCTTTACTGCAATGCTGGATTTTCATAAAAATAATCCTTGTGTTCGATGAAAAAAATCCAATGAAACTCAATCCGCTTGTTTTCAGTACACCGCTGTGTACAAAATACAGTCGATCCACTTTACAATATATTCCGTGAAGCGCTTTGTGACGTCCCAACGACGTGAAAAGGCACTCTATCAAATGCAAGGATTACTATTATTCACCATTGGACGCATCAAAATGCCTCAAAGCACATTACAGGGAATTGTTAGCGACTGAGTGTTTGTTGGCAAACATGGCAGCCAATTTACACATAGCCATGAAGTTAACGATTAATTTGTTTTTAATTGTGGGGAAGGGTGGAGGGGGAATTGTTTACCAGTACACCAGGAGAAATATACCCTTCTCTTTTCTTCCAGGACTGGGCTGGAGTGTCAATCTCGACTGTGTGCTCACCAATAGTAGTAGTATTATTATTACTAATAATTATTATTATTATTATTATTAGTAATAATAATAATCCCTCCAAAAAACAAAACAATAATAAAAAATTGGTCATTTTCAATCCATGACAGTTTGTGGGACGCTGCTGTGCGCAATTGGCTGCCGCGTTCACCCACAAATATACAGTCGATTCACTTTACAGTATATTCTGTGAAGCGCTTTGGGACGTCTAGAAGATGTGAAAAGCGCTATATCAAATGCAAAGATTATTATTTATTATTATTATTATTATTATTATTATAGTGTTTCTCTCTAAAAAAAACAATTAGTGCAGTTCCCATGGTTGTGTAGTGAACCCCATGCTGGTTACAGACTAAAAGTTTGCTCCCTTCTCATTTTCGACGGTGTTGTGGGGGTGTAACATTATTGGAAAAGAGAAGGGAGTTTCTCTCTCTCTCCCAGTGTCCTGGCCAGCAATCCCCCAGATAAAATTGGTCATTCACTTCATGGCTGTTTTATGTGACCGAGCAAGCGCAAATCAGATGCTGTATGTGTGTGATGAGTGCGTGTGTATATGCGTGTTTCCAAACCCAGAGGGTAATTAATGACTGGAACAGGTTCCCAGGAATCCTGATTGAGGCCAAGACACAAGGACTCATTTAAAGAAACAGCTTGATGGATGCTGTGATGGGAAGATGGTTGGGTAGGAATTCTGGATGAGATCAAATGGGTCGAAGGACCTTCTTCATCCGAACCTCTCCTGAGGACTTGGGAGGTGAATTATTGGGTGCAGTTGAATGCTTTTTGTAACTCCCTGGATTGTGACCCCCATCTCCCCCATTCTCGCCCGACTCCATTGGCTCCCTATCCTTCAGAGGATCCAATTCAAAATCCTGGTCCTCACCTCCAAAGCCCTCCATGGCCTCGTCCCACCCTACCTCTGCGACCTCCTAACCCCCTATCAACCCGCCCGCTCCCTCCGCTCAGCCGGCTCTGGCCTGCTCCACGTCCCCCGACTCACCCGCCCCACCATTGGCGGGAGAGCCTTCAGGTACTCTGCCTCCAACCTCTGGAATTCCATCCCCCAATCACTCCGCCTCGCCGTCTCCTTAGCTTCCTTCAAGTCTCGCCTCAAGACTCTCCTCTTCGACCATGCCTGCGGCCAACCCATTTCCCCTCCCCTCCCTTCTGCTCCCCTGACCCCAGTTTGGGTCTGAAATGCTGTACACTGTTCAGCGACTTGGGACGTCCTCCCGACGTGAAAGGCGCTAAACAAAAGTAATCTTGTTGTTGTTGTTGTTGATTTTATTCTTAGAGGAGACAGATGTACGAATATGTCAGTGATGTGTGACAAGCTGCAGCCTCCTGGTCGGTTCGCACTTTCAAGGTCAAGGTCAAGTAAGTCAGTAGACTTGTCCTCATTCATGTACCTCATGTCTTCGGTTAATTAAATGTTGATTGATAATAATAATAATCCTTGCATTTTGATATACCGCCTTATCATGTTGTTGAGACGTCTCAAAGAGCTTCACAAGCTACACTGTGAAGTGGATTGACTGTGTATTTTGTGGGCGAATCGCGGCAGCCAATTGCACACTGCAGCGTTCCACAAAAAATTGCTATTAGATGTAAAACTCAGTCACTATATTTTACAGTACATTCTTTGAAGCACTTGGAACGCTAACCCGCGTGAAGGGCACTATATAAATGCAAGTTGTTGTTGTTGATTCCTGACTTGATAGGCTCGATAACAAATGTAAGGATTATCGTATATGGAATGACAGCTGTTCATTTTCTAACCAAAGTTCCTGACATATCTCACATTCTGGAACTATAGGAGGAGGTCACTCAGCTACAGAATGCATCAATCACTTTGAGACGTCCTCACAATGCAAAAGGCAAAGATTACTCCTTATTCTACATTATTTTAATTAATCCACTTTCCAGCTCTCCAGTTTCAATGATCCAGTTCCCTACTGAACGATTCTATTGACTTGCCCGAAGGAGTCACTGGTGGTGAAAAATTCCAAACCCTGACAACTCTCTGAGTGAAGAAATTCCTGCTGATTAAACCCTCCGTTGCCTTTTTTGCTAACAATCCTGAGACCCGTGCCCCTCCTCCTCCCCTCCCTCGTCACTGATTCCCCAACTAAAGGAAGTATATTTTTTCCCTATCTCCTCCGTCATGCCCCTTCAGTGTCTTAATGATCACATCCCCTCTCAATCTCCGATGCTCTGCCTTTCTTACTTAGAATTTCCCCATCCTCGTAAAGAGACACAGAGACATTACCCTAATGGTGTTTACACCCCACGTGATCATCCACTCCTCTTATTCCCCCTCTCCTACATCCCTCTGTTCCACTCTCTCTCATGCATGCATCGAGCCTCCTCTTAAATACATTGATACTTTTTGCTTTGACCACACCTTCCGACATTGATATGGTCACTCATTTCATGGCTGCCTGTGGGACGTTGCTGTGCGCCTACAAATACATAGTCAATAACTACACTTTATAATAAATCCGTGGATTATTTATTTGTTGCAATACTGTGGACCGTGCAAGCCAAAGCCCTAATGGGTAGGGTGGTCGTAGCAGCAAGAATGCTTGCTAGACAATGATATATTGTTATAATTTCTAACCTTAAGTTTAAGAAAATATGGTTTTGTGGCTAGGGAGGTGGTGTATGTGTGTGTTTGTGTGTGGGTGTGTGGGAGGGTGGTCTTAAAGCATGAGTGCAAATGCTAATGTTTAAATGTGTCACAGAAAGAATACAAATAGAGAAACCTCTGAAATCTTTATTTTACACCCCGACCTTAGGCGAAGAATTCCGAGTGATTCGCGGCAAACACCACGAATATGCCGTCGTCGTCTTCTACAGTCATGGGGCAAACAAAACAGTGACTACACTCAGGTTGTTCGGTAAGAGTTCTGATTCCTGGAAACTTTGGAAAAGGAGTCAGCCGTTCAGTTCCCTTAAGTCTGTTCCGCCATTTTATTAGATCATGGCTAATCTGTACCTCAACTCCAATTACCCATCCAATTCCAGTCCACTGATTCCAACCAATCTCAGTCTGTCACACCGTTCTGCTTTAGGCCTTTAACATGGGGCAGAATTCGGGAAAATTCTTTGGTTCAGGCTTCTTTCAGGAACCAGTTTCTCTACAGTTCTTAAAAAAGGAACAGGCTTCCAAATGCGTGTCAGCCTGGCTTGGTTGATAGCAGTCTCACCTCGGAGTCAGAAGGAATGTTAAGCATTATATCAGCATCGCGTCATTACACAGAAATAGTCCTGTAGCTCAGTGGTTAGCGCATTTGCTTCGCAAGCGAGTGGATCCGGGTTAGATTTCCGGGCGGGGCAAAAGCTGAGGCAAGTTTCCTTACTCCACATGCCTCTATTTACCTAGCAGGAAGTAGGAACCCAGTTGATAATCAATTGGTGGATTGCTTTCCGGGCTTAATAATTCCTCCACACAAAAAAAAGTGGTCACTAACTCCACGACTGTTTGTGGGACACTGCTTAATTAGTTCCAGTGTTTCACCCACAAAATACAGTCAATCCACTTTACAGTACATTCTGTGAAGCTTTGAGATGTCTCAACGACGTGATAAGGCGCTATATCACCTTCAACTTTACAACAAAATCGTCTCGCAAGCTAAGACAAGGCAGAATTTTGAGCCTGGTGTGTTGGTTTGCTGGTTGAGCTTTTGACCATTGTGTAATTAACTGATTGACAGGGAGGGCACAGGAGCTGAGGCCGGCCCTTCTGGAAGATTTCCGTCAGATATCCTTGGATCAAGGCATTCCAGAAGAATGTATTTTCCTGTTGCCTAAGGCAGGTATGTCTGCACGCACCCGCACACGCACACACACACACTCATTCACACGTATGCACACATGCACGCACGCCCAATAAATATCTTCAAGGTCACAAGAGATTCAGATGAAAAGGCCCTTTGGCCCACTTGATCTCATCTTTCTTGAACACCTCGTCTACCATCCTCTCATTACAGCACCAAGACTTAAATGAGTCCATTGTCCTGGCCTCAACGACCCTCTCGGGTAACGCTGTTCCAGTGCTGAATTGCCCTCTGGGTAAAGAAATACTTCCTAGTGTCTGTCCTGAACTTGCCCCTTGCAACCATGAGCCTATGTCCTCTTGTTCTGCTGCTTCAGTTTATCTGAAATTAGGACTCTATGTAGACCAAGACAACTCAGAATTAGACAGCTCCCTTTTTGCAAGTCAAGGTTGGAATTTAGGAGAGGAAAAATTTGCGTTCTTTCTTAAAGCTTTTCCTAAATTAATTCAATTTATTTTTTCTGCTTTTCTAAAAGAGTGTTACAAAAGGTGACATTGACCCTGAGTTATTCTTACCTTGTCTATTTTACCAGATGAATGTGTGTCGGACAAGACTTTACCAGAATCCCAAAACCAGGTGAGCTGGAGATTTGTTCAGTGGTCACTGTTAAGTGCAATGAGACACTGCCTCGCGTTACGCAAATGCAAGTTGTTGTTGTTAAATTTCATTTTCATACAGCGTCTTTCACATACGAGAGCCCCACAATCAGGAGTTTGGGACATCCTCCCGAAGGCGCTATGTAAATACAATTTGTTGTTGTTTGAACTTATATAGTCTACCGTCCAGGTAGAGATTTTGCTTCGTCAGAGACGCTGTCTTTTGGATGACACGTGAAAACAAGTGTCTTGTCTGCCTGTTCAGGTGGACGCTAAGGATCCCATGGCACTATTCGAAAAGAGAAAGGAGTTTCTCTCAGTCTCTGTCCAACAATCTCCCAAATAAAATTAGTCATTCACTTCATGGCTGTGGATCTCACCCTCCGAAAAATCCCTCTTCAGAAACTCACCAACCTCGCCTCATCAGAGTATGAAGCTGTTTCATAAATGAGTCCAGCATCACAGAAAATATTCACGTGTAATTCCAAGACTGAAGAGCCTCAGCTTGTCCAATCGTTGCTCATTACGTTAACACTGGGGATCATCCTCGTGGCTCTTTTCTTCGCTGCCTGTAGGGCCTGGGAAGTCCGTTATGTCACAGCGACCAGAACTATATTCAGTATTCCAGGCAGACACTGCTCACCTTGACAATGCCCAATGTGTGAGCGAGATTCACCCTCTCCACTGTTCCCGGAAATATAATTGGGGCTAATATAGTTTATGAAATTCCAGTACCACATACTTTAGTACAACAGCTTCAATCAGGAGCTGATCGTGTTTTGCTCAAAGAATTCAGCTTCGTTGAGAAAGGAACTTGTATGACAGACACTGACTTTTTTTTCCCCTGTAAGCAACGAGTGCGAAGAATGGCTGTGGTCGAACCTGAGGAAGGATCTGGTTTGCTTCCTTCTAATGTCCCCTTCTTCAGCAGAACTGATGTTGAAGGTATGTTAAATCCTGGCATTCCAACTCTGGGGCTAATTTGAGCTATTTCTTAATTGGGATTTCTGCTCATTTGCCCCCTTTTGTTAATCAAGATTTTTGCTCATTTGCGCCATTTGTTAATCATTAAATTAATTTAAATCGAATTAATTTGTTAATTTGCACCATTTGTTAATCATTAAAATGAAGTTAACGATTAACTAATGGTCCAAATTAATTTGCAAATTAAATTAATTTAAATCAAATTAATTTGTTCATTTGCAGCATTTGTTAATCCACTCCTTTGCTGATTTACACTGGTTCCTTAACCCGATTCCTGACAGCGCTCTCCTCTTTTCGTGTTTTGTTCCTTAAGCGGCGTGCCAGCTGCCAGCCGAGCCCGGGATATGCTTTGGGCACCACGAACGCTTCCATTACAACCAGTCGACGATGACGTGTGCGAAGTTTGTTTACGGCGGTTGCTCTGGCAATGGCAATAACTTCCTGACTGAACAGATTTGCCTGCAGAGATGCAGGACTGTAGGTGAGAGGCTCATGGACCACACCAATAACTTGCAAACCCTTAACTGTCCAGTACCTCCGCACCTCAGGCGCTGACAGCATCAGCATCCAAGGCTGCACTCTCCACCTCTCAAAGCCATCAGGAACCTCGGGGTTCTGTTCGACCCTGAGCTGTCCTTTCTCCCTCATATCCGCGCCACAACTGGCACTGCCTTCCATCACCTCCGGAATATCGCCAGACTACGGCACTACCTCACCCCTCACGCTACTGAAACTCTGGTCCACGCCTTTATCACCTCAAGGCTGGACTATGGGAACTCTCTCCTCGCCGGCCTTCCGGCCCTCCCTCCACACTGCAGGTCATTCAGAACTCTGCAGCTCGTGTACTGTCCCGCACCAGGCTTCGGGACCACATCACTCCCACCCTCGCTCGCCTCCACTGGCTCCCCATCCCCCAGAGGATCGAATCAAGGTCCTCATCCTCACCTACAAGGCCATTCACGGCCTCGCTCCCTCCTACCTCTCCGACCTACTACCTACCTATCTGCCCGGACCCTCCGTTCCTCTGGCTCCGGTCTGCTCCACATCCCCCGCCCCAACCGCCCTACCATCGGTGGCCGGGCCTTCAGCCTCTCAGCCCCGAGGCTCTGGAACTCTATCCCCCAGTGCCTTCGACATGCCTCCTCCCTTTCCTCCTTCAAGGCCGGTCTCAAGACCTTTCTCTTTGACCGTGTCTTCAGCTCCCCTCTCGACTCTCTACCCCTTCCTCGCTCCCTCCCCTCCCTCCCCTCACCCTGACCATTTCCCCCCTGCTCGGGTCCTGACCCAGCTGTACAGCGCCTTGGGACGTCCTCCCAACGTGAAAGGCGCTCTATAAATGGAATCTTGTTGTTGTTGTACCTTGAGGCGTCTTTCCGACATTTTTGGGGGGTAACGGAGTATCTGACACTTGTGGAAACCCAGCACCGTGCTTAAGAGTCTCCAAATCAAACTGAGAATTCCATGCATCCCACCTACATGTGGAAATCCCAGAGATAGATTGTTGGAATGGAATACCTGCTTACCTAATTCTGGAAAGCATTTGGGGAAGGTTGTGGAAAAGCGCTATATAAATATAATTTTGTTGCACTTGTTGCTGTACTTATATAGCGCCTTTTGATGGAGTCAGACACCGAGGAAGGGAGAGGGGGAGGTGACTATAGATAGAGGTAGATTTTAAGTGAGATTTAAAGACCGATAATGAGTAGGTGAATTGAAGGTGTAGTGGAAGGGTGTTTCAAAAGTTAGGGCAGAATGGCACAGATGGGCAGTATGTGCACCTGAACCAACATCCTTTTGATCCAGAGGCGAGAGTGCTACTGAGCCAGGCTGACACCTATTTGGGATCTATCATTGACTTTCAATCTATCAAGTTTCCTGGATCTAGACTTTACCATCTCAGGCAATGTCAGGAGAGTTTCTCGCTGTTTTCAGGTGCCCGATCATGCTGACAGAACCCAAATGCATTTGGAGAATCCCTACAGAAGTACATTGCAATTTCTTGTGCCATTATTCCTCCAACCCTGTGGTCCAAATCCTTACTAATGTATGTGATTTTCTCTTCTCACAGCCGCCTGCAGGCTGCCCATAGAAATTGGGCCATGCAAAATTGCAGTAGATCTCTGGGCTTTTGACTCCGTCCTCGGGAAATGCAAACCTTTCATCTACGGTGGATGTCAAGGAAATGGCAACAAGTTCTACTCTTTGAAGGAGTGTGAAGAGTACTGTGATGCAGTCCCAGCAGGTACCAACGCTGCTTGTAGGAAATCAGTAACAGGAGAGGTCAATGCGGCCCATTCCAGCTTTCCATTTATTATTATTTGTTATTACTATTTTAGGAGTAATAATCCCTCTACTCTCCACCCCCAATAATAATAATTTGGTCACTCAATCCACAACTGTTTGTGGGATGCTGCTGTTTGCACTTGGCTGCTGTGTTTCTCCCACAAAATACACGGTCAATTCACTTTACAGTGTATTCTGTGAAGCACTTTGAGACGTCTCAACGATGTGTTAAGGCGCTATATCAAATGCAAGTATTATTATTCCATGACCATATTTTACAATCTCCCTTAATCCCACCTTCCTGCAATATCAGCCCCATTGGGACAGCAGACGAGACCTTAGGTTAACCTCTCACCTAAAGGACAACACCTGTGACAGCGCAGTGCTCCCACTGTCACGTCGGTCTAGACTGTGAGCTCAAAGTCTCCAAAATGGGGCTCGAACAGACAACATTCTGACCCAGAAACGAGAGCGAGAGTGACTGAGCCAAGCCGACACCTACGCTTGTCAAGTGACTCAGTCATTAGGGTGAGGCTTAAACTCACCCAGCTGCAGGTCAAGGAACATCTTTGAAGCCATTCATATGGTAGTTCAGAGTGTCTCAGCTCCCCCTCACTTTTTGTTCGTGTTTGCATCACTGCCATTTCTATCACTGTCTTATAACATTGTGTTTTGCAGAAGAGGCTGACCTTCTGGCTGTTTGAAACACAACATAGAGAAAAATGAAACTAAAGTAGGGCGTTGAGGTGGCGTTCATTCGCACTGTGGGACATCACCATCACTGAACAGAAGCCTTGTATCCGATCAAGAGATGGGACCCCTTTGTTTCTGTTCTTGTGTTCTTTCTGCACACACAGTATATGCTTAAACCATATAATCAAATAAAGCATTAGCCTTCACTGTGTATCTCAGGACACATTATTTTACACAACAACATAGTGACCAAAAAGATTCACCATTAGCCCCCGCTCCTCCTATGCCACTCTCCCATACCCCTCAATAATCTCCTCTCCCTTAAATATGCATCAAGTTTCACCATGTTGATATATCCATACCATCCTAACAACAACAACTTGCATTTATTTGGCGCTCTTCATGAGGGACAGAGTCTCAGAACACTTAACAGTGGGGGGGGCTGACGTTGAGCTGGGGGGGAGGAGGGAGGTGACCATAAGCATGGTCAAAAAGGAAAAAAAATGCAGCGAGACATAGATAGGTTAGGTGATTGGGCAGGTAGGTGGCAGATGAAGTGTAATGTAGGGAAGTGCAAAGTCATCCACCTAGGTAGCAAAAACAGTAGAGCGGGTTATTTTTTAGAAGGGGAGAGATTGGAATGTGTTAGCGTCCAGAGGGACTTGGGTGTCCTTGTACACCAATCACAGAAAGTTAGTCTGCAGGTGCAGCAGCAATTAGGAAGGCGAACGGTATGTTAACATTCATTATGAAAGGATTAGAGTGTAAGAGTAGGGAAGTCTTGCTGCAACTGTAGAGGGCCCTTGAGAGACCACACCTGGAATACTGTGTGCAGTTTTGGTCTCCTTATTTAAGGAAGGATGTACTGCCTTGGAGGGGGTGCAGCGTAGATTTATTAGGTTAGTACCAGGGATGAAGGGGATGAGTTACGAGGATAGGCTGACCAATTTGGGCCTATATTCTCTGGAATATAGAAGAATTAGAGGGGATCTTATAAAAACCCGTAAGATCGTCAAAGGGCATGATAGAGTAGATAGTGGGAGATTGTTTCCCCTGGTTGGAGCAACTAAAACCGGGGGTCACAACTTTAAAATCAGAAGCCAACCCTTTCGCACTGAGTTGAGGAACAACTTCTTCACTCAAAGGGCTGTGAATGTATGGAACTCACTACCCCAAAAGGCTGTTGACGCTCAGTCCTTGAACGTATTCAAGACTGAGATAGATAGATTTCTTATTGCAAAAGTGATTAAGAGATATGGGGATAAGGCAGGGTCAGGTTATTAGCTAGAGTTAGATTAGAAGATCAGCCATGATTGAATGGCGGGGCAGGCTCGAAGGGCCGAATGGCCTACTTCTGCTCCTACATGTTATGCTGTGTTATTTTGTTATGAAGGTCTTCAGTCGTGATCTAAAAGAGGGAAGGAGGGGACCAAGCGGAGGAATTGGGGTCAGAGAGTTCCAAAGCTTTGGGGCGTAGTGGCTGAAAGTATGGCTTGCCAATGGTGGAGCAGAGGGTGCCTGGTATTCTAATATAGGGCTGCCACCTTTGAGACATAGAAAATGGCCACTGACTTGGATGGCACCTCCTCGCTCAGCCTGTCACAGCCATTTGGACATAATTCACTGGGTACGGCTGCCATGTAACACCACTCCTCTCAGGACTTTCTGACTTATTTCCTTAAGAGCACCACATACAAAATGAAGCACCTCGCTCGATTGAAACATTGGGACAAATTGAAGCTCATTCGTACAGGAACTGCATATTTTGTGACTGGATGTTTCAATGAAGTAAGGTGTTTGATGGTTCATTCACATTACCTTAGTCCCTGCCTTTCACAGTGTTGGTGGGAGGTAGGTACTGACATAGAATACTTATACAGTAAGCAAAGAACCTCTAAATAGACCCTATTTATTGTTAGTCGATTGGCGGATCGCTTTTACCCTCGGCCTGATAGGGTGTGCATATGGGCCGATAACTGGCAAATGAAGTTTAATACAGATAAAGGTAAGGTACCGTATATAGGCAGTAAGATTCATTATCAGAGGTGCTGTGCTGTTCATTATTGGAGCATGTGAATACCAGGATGGTCGGAAGGCGAACTAGATGGACCTTGGCCTTTTCTTGGCTAGCATTTCCTAAGTACACCATGGATGGGACAGAATTTGCCAAGGGGAAAGCTGAAAGAGATCTAGGGGTAGGTAAAGACAGCAACTCCAACAATGCAGCACTCCCCCAACACTGCATTGGAGTATCACCATAGACTATATGGGTTCCAAGTCTTGAACTGACAAACCATCTGATTCAGAGGTGAGAGCGCTACCCATTGACTCTATGTCAATGGATGTTTAATGCACCATCGGGCTAACTGTCAATACCACACAGTGACATACAAATCAATCACCAGCATTTCTTTCCCAACATTTTCTCTGCCTATTCTCCACCTCTTGCCCCTTGTCTCTTGACACCCACACACTTACTGTAATTCCAGTTAAATCTACCACTGATACCAACAAATTACATTTATGGAGCGCCTTTCACGTCGGGAGGATGTCCCAAGGCGCTGGACAGTCAGGGGTCGGGACCCGAGCATGGGGGAGGGGTGGGGTAGGGGTGAGGGAAGGCAGAGAGGGAAGGCGGAAGGGCGACTGAAGACATGATCGAAGAGAAGCGTCTTGAGACCGGCCTTGATGGAGACAATGGAGGAAGCAAAGCGAAGGGACTGTGGAATACTGATGAAAAGCAATGGGTTGTTGGTACGACCTTTAACCAAATGTGTTGAAACTACTTTCAGGTAGAGTTCAAAGCCATGTGTTCATGACACGAAACACACTGAAACACTGAACGGCCGGTGAGTGGACATAGATTCAGAGAAACAAAGTTGCTCCATCTCACCTCATCCCTCTCCACTAGTGCTGACTCAGCCAGCAAAGCAAACAAGTCCTTGTATTTGCACAGCCCTTATCCTGTGGAAAGGTTGGCCTTTACTGGACTGCATGTGTCCTGCTTCAAGGTCTGTTGAATAACAGAGCTGTTCAGGAGTAATAATCTTTGCATTTGACACAACATCTCAAAGGACTTTACAGTAATTCCTGCTCCATCTTACAGTAATTCCTGTAAAGCGGAGTGAGTGAATTTTCTGAAAACGTGGCAACCAACAGTGATGTCCCACAAACAGCCATAGAGTGAACGGCCAATTTTATCTAGGAGGAGGGGGGAGAGGGGTTTGGAATTGTGGCCAGGACACCGGGAGAAACTCCATTCTCTTTTTCGAAGAGTGTCTTGGGATCTTTAATGTCCACCTGAACAGGTACAGACGGAGCCTCTGTTTACCATCTCATCTGAAGGATGGCACCTCTGACAATGGAGCGTTCCCCCCGCTCAGCACAGCGCTGGAATGTCAGCTACGACTCATTGATCCCAAGTCCTGACGTGAGGCTCGTTTCACCCAACCTCTGACTCAGAGGCTAGAATGCTACCCACTGGGTCAGACTGACGATTTGTAAGTGAGTGTGAGCACGTTAAGCTCAATGTGGCTCTGCTGATTTTTATCTGTGGGGGTAGGGGGTTAGTGCTCAAACTCCCCTTTTCAGGCTCAGCCACTGTTGAGCGCTCTGAGACTTTACCCTGTATCCTCTCCTCTACCCTGAGGGCACTGTATAAGTGCAAGTTGTTGCTGTTGTTTTCCCTCCAGCTTAATGATGGAAACTCACAACACAGGGTCAGCAGGAGAGTTATTTCTCTGAGAGGGTTTGATTGAACAACGATCAGTGATTAACTGGAAAGATCAACACAAGTTGCACCACCAGATCCCGGCACCCAGTCATTGACGTAGGAGGCGCCCAAGCTTAAATCTCTGTCTCTGGACCCAATTGAGATCCCAACCAGACCGAGACCATGAAGGGAAGCCATTTCCTCCTCCTTGCCATATCCTTCCAATTTTTTCTGTTGCAGAAGGCAAAAGGCAGTCCAACAGTGGGCCCTGGACATCTTTTTGAACCAGGTATGTAGTATAGCACCCACCACCCCTTACATTTACTGTATTTACCCTGAATCTGAGGCTCAGGAAGAGGTTTTAGAGCTTAATCACAAGGAGCCTCTAAGATGCAGCCAGAATTTGGAGGTTAAAAAAGAACTCGGCTTGACTTTAACTCAATGTTGTACCCAATAGCTTTCTCATAATGTAGTATCTCTAAGTGCTTCACATAAACACAGTGCAAACCCAGCAAGGTGGGAAGGATGTGGGAGAGTGGAGAAGAGAGTTGACCAAAAGTGTGGTCAGAAGTAGGTTTTCAGAGGGTTTGGGAAAATGGGGAGGGAATAATAATAATAATAATAATAATCCTTGCATTTGATATAGCGCTTTTCACGTCGGGAGGACATCCCAAAGTGCTTCACAGAACACACTGTAAAGTGAATTGACTGTATATTTGTGGGCGAACGCGACAGCCAATTGCGCACAGCAATGTCCCACAAACAGTCGTAGATTGAAAATGACCAATTTATTATTGTTTTTTGTTTTGGAGGGATTATTATTAGGCTCTGCGTGGAGTAAGGAAACTTGCCCAAGATTTCGCCCTCTGCCTGGAATTGAACTCAGATCTCTCGCTTGCAAAGCGAGTGCTCTAACCACTGAGCTACAGGAATAGGGGAAGACTGCAAACTGAGGGAGGGAGGAAAAGGGGGAAGGAGAAGGAGAAAGAAGGACAGAGAAAGCAAGGGAGAGTAAAGAGAGAGAGATACGGGGTGGGGGGAGGGAGGGATGGAAGGAAGGAAAGAAAAGAAAGACAGAGGAGAGGAATAAATGATAGAAAAAGAGAGGAAAAGTAGGGTGGAGTGGAAGAAAGTTAAAGAAAGATAGAATTAAGCTTAAGAAAGGGAAAAAGGCAAAATCTGTGCGAAGTGAAAAGTAAAGACTGGGACAAAATGCAAAAATGGCCCAAGGTGACATGAACAAAGTACAGCGAGGAGGAAAGAGAGCAGCGATGATATTCACTTACAGTTTTAACTCTCTTTAAAGAACATGAAATAAAAATTACTGATAAAGTTTTACCTGGAGACAGGTCGGTGATCTGGTGATACACAAGCTCAGGGTCTGCTCCTCTGCACAGAATGAAATTCGTTGGATGTAAGCCGCAAGCTTTACCTGCAACAACAACAACAACTTGCGCTTATATAGCACCCTCCACGCAGGGTAGCGTCTCAGAGCGCTTTAGCAGAGAGTGGGGTGGGTGAGGTTTCAGTTTCTCCCCTGTTGTATTTCACTGAGATAAACCAGACAGATAAAAAAGACTTAACCAGATACAATTTGGAATTTCTCAACATATCCCACAAAACATATATTCACTACATTTTACAGTATATCCTGTGAAGTGCTTTGGGACGTCCTGCCTAACGTGAAAGGAGCTGCACCATAACGTACAAAACTAACAACTTGCATTTATATAGCGTACTTTAAATAGGGCAGCGTTTCAAAGTGCTTTCCTCTCTCTATCCCTCCTTTCCTCTCTCTGACTCTTTCCCTCCCCCTCTCCCCTTTTCACAATAACAACATGTATTTATTCAGCATCTTTCATGCTGAGAAATATCTCAAAGAGCTTTACAGAGACAGTGTGAGAGCACGAGCACTGTGGGAAATGGCAGGGTAAGTGGAATGTGCATTCAGAGAGGCGGGTTTTGAAAGTGAGAAGGGGAGAGAGCCCGGGCACAGTAGCTGACGGCTCCACTGTTGATGGTAGGGCAGACAGGGTGTGAACAGATCGAGGTGGACGTGGAGGGATTGAAAGGCGAGGATGAGGGTTTCAGAGTTAATCCACCGGGGGATGGGGAGCCAGGGGAGGATGTGCATGATGGACTCGGGGAGCAGGGTGCAGAAGACGACGTGGGCTACAAGGGGATGATGGAGGCGTAGGCGAGGGTTTCAGCTGAATTGGAGGTGAGGTCAGTGGGGTGGAGGCAGGCGACAATAGCAGACGTGGATGGAGGAAAGTGGACTTGGTCAGGGAACCGATGGAAGGCATGAAGGAGAACGCGGGTGAGGGTCGAAGAAAATACCGAGACTTGGCATTGGCTGCATGAGTTGGAGCGATCAGCCGGGGAGGTTGACAGGGTTAGCGCCGGAGAAATAAAATAAAATGTGTGTTTGTTTGTAAGATGTCTGCATGATGCCACCTGCGATTGGAAGATGTCATGCTTTAAAGCCCAGATTCTTCTTCAACCAGTCATCGATGTCCTGCGACTTATTTACCTACGGTGGCTGCGGTGGAAATGGTAACAACTTCATGACTAAAAGGGACTGCGAGCACACCTGCAACGTGACAGGTAAGAAACGAAAGGCGCTGGGATTTCCAGTATGAAATCAAATCTTCTGGGCTGGGAAGATGGCGTATTTCACTGACCGACCTTCTGAAGGTCCAACCTAGAGAATAACAATTCAAACAACAACAACAAAACTTACCACACCACCTTACCAATAAAACTGCTCTCCCCGCACCTCAGACATGCAAACCCAAGATAGCGGCAGATCACGATTCAAAACTTAGGGGCATTGGGATGGTAGATACTGCCACTAGTGGCCAGTTAGGGTTATTACAGTGTCTGCTTTTACTTTTTCAAACCCATTTATAATATTATACAACAACAACTTGCATTTATATAGCGTCCTTCACGTGGGGTAGCATCCCGGAGCGCTTATACACCTCTCAGGGTTGAAGAGCTCCAGCTTGTCTAATTGTTTGTTGAGACGCATGGGTAAAATGTGTGAGGTTTTATAACTATTGAATGTGATGAGTACAAGAATTGACATGAGGCCAGAATCTGTGGGCGTTAGTGCTGGAAATTGGGGGGAGAAGGAACAGAACACAACCAGTCAGGATAATGCAGTATGGTGATAGCTGTTCAATCTGCTGTAAAACCCACGAGTGGTCCCGTTGCCCAGTGGATTGAAAGACATCAACACAGAAGAGTTTATGCTCTTCTGATGGTTATTGCCGGCAATATTTATCGCATTGAATCCCGTACATTTAGCAGGTCGTTATTAATTTTTTTAAAAATTTGGTCAGCCGAGTGTCTGACACATGCGGAAAACCATCGCCATGCTTAATAGTATCCAAACAGGATTGAGAGATCCACATATGGACATTGACATATGGAAATTTCCCCATGTTTGGAATGGAATGCACATGCTCTCCTCAGAGGGGAGCATTCTGCTTTACCTAATTCCAAAGAGTACGTTAGGCACAGGCAGCAATCTCACCTCTCAATCATGAGGTTGTGGGTTCAAGCCCCATTTCGGCACTTTGAACTTGCAGTTTAAGACGACTGGGTTGCATTGTCAGAGGTACTATCTTCCAGATGAGATGTTAAACCAAGGGCCTGCCTGCCTGTTCAGATAGATAGTAAAGATCCCATGGCCTATTTGAAAACTGACTCGCAATACCCTCAGATAGAATTGGTCACTCTGTTCATGGCCGTTTGTGGGACATGGCTATGCGCAAACTGTGTTCAAACACAGAATAAACTTTTCCGTATAACCTGTGCTGCCCTTTGAGCCTTGAGACGTCCTCCCGACATGAAAGGTGCTATATAAATGCAATTTGTTGTTGTCATTCGTATGGTACTAAACATGATGCTTGTTCCTTTAAGAGCTCTGCGCCCTGGCACCTAAAGTGGGGATGTGCTATGCTCTCATGCACAGATACTTCTACAACCAGTCATCAAAAGCGTGCGAGGTATTTATGTACGGTGGCTGCAGAGGAAATGTAAATAATTTTCAAGAAAAGGAGCAATGTGAGGATTCCTGCGGTGAGCTGGGTGAGAGAAACATTCCTGCTCTGTTTGCAATTAAACCCACCCTACATGCTGGCTTCTTCCAACATAAGGGGCTTTGGTGATACACAAGCACGATGGGAGATGCTGGCCAACACCGCCAAAGGCGACAGGAAAAAAAATAATAATAACTTGGCCACTCAATCCATGACGGTTTGTGAGAACTGCTGTGCGCAATTGGCTGCTGCAAAATATACAGTCAATTCACTTTACAGTATGTTCTGTGAAGCGCTTTGATAATAATAATAATAATCCTTGCATTTGATATAGCGCTTTTCACGTCGGGAGGACGTCCCAAAGCACTTCACAGAACACACTGTAAAGTGAATTGACTGTATATTTGTGGGCAAACGCGGCAGCCAATTGCGCACAGCAATGTCCCACAAACAGTCGTAGATTGAAAATGACCAATTTTTATTATTGTTTTTGGTTTTGGAGGGATTGTTATTAGGCTCTGTGTGGAGTAAGGAAACTTGCCCGAGGTTTCGCTCTCTGCCTGGAATTGAACTCAGGTCTCTCACTTGCAAAGCGAGTGCTCTAACCACTGAGCTACAGGACTCCACAGGACGTTGCAACGACATGATATGGCGCTATATCCAAATGCAAGGATTATTATTTTAACTTAATCCCCTTTTTTATAGCATTTTGCAAACTGAAACCTGACAGAGGGCCCTGCAGGGCAGATTTTGTACGATACTTTTACAACACATCAACAAAGATGTGCGAGCAGTTCAAGTATGGCGGTTGTCTGGGAAACACCAACAACTTTATGGATCCAATGGAATGTCATTTCAAATGCGGCGACAAAGGTGAGAAATCACTGCCGACCACTCCATATCTCTATGCACACACTCTCACCCACAAATACACAATCACCCACACTTTACAGAACCTCTGTGAAATACAAGGATTATTATTACATATGTAGTGTCACTCACTTACTTACTCACTCACTCCGTTCATGTCGGGAAGATGTCCCAAGTCGCTGGACAATCAGGGATTTGGACCCGAGCAGGAGGTTGGGATCACAAAGGGAGGAGGGCAGGGAGGGTAGGGGTAGGCAGATGACCAAAGGCGCGGTCGAAGAGGACTAAAGTGAACAAATGGAAAGAATACCTGCTCTGTAGACTGTACACTAGCTAATGATAGCTCGCTGTGTATTTCTTCCAGGGGAATGCCTGTTGCCCATTCAAATAGGAAAGTGCAGAGGTGCCATACCGAAATGGAGATTTGATAAAACGATGAGAACATGTGTCGAATTCACGTACTCGGGATGCGATGGAAATAAGAACAACTTTGATTCAGAAATGGAATGTAAAAAGCACTGCCCGGTTCCAGAGGCGAGAGGTTCCATGCCGAAACACGTTCCAATAATATTCAAGTATGAAAGAGTTAAATTCCAAACCCCATTACAGCGCGCCTTAGCTCTGATATAGCACGGTACACAGGCTGTCCTCCGGCGAACTCACATTTACCACGAGGTAGAGTGGATGACCGGCCAGAGTCTTGCGCAAGGCGCCGGGCGAGGTGATGTCAGTGGTGACCCTGACCGGATGACAAGAGTCATCTTACAATATAGCCTGTTTTAGCACTGGATGTCACTTTAAGACACCACCACCCCCACTCCATCACCATAGCGTTATAACAGAGTCGGACTCAATAAATTGGATCTGGAATGCATTGCCTGAAAGGGTGGTGGAAGCCGATTCAATAACAACTTTTAAGAGAGAAGTAGATAATTATTTGCAGGGCTATGTGGAGAGAGCGGGGGAGTGGGATTGATTTGGATAGCTCTTTTTAAAGAGCTGGCACAGACACGATGGGCCGAATGGCCTCCTTCTGTGCTGTATGATTCTATGAATGGTGAGAAGTCGTGACCTCAAAATTAGAGCAAAGCTGTTCTGAACCAGGATCAGGGAGGATCTCTCCACACAGAGTGTGACAGGACAGCTCCAGAGAGCCAAAGAGGAGAGATTGGTTATGATCAGCTATGGAACAGGCTCCCTAGGGAGACTGGGAAAATAATATTTTGGGATACAGTATATGAGTAATTTGAGACATAACATATAGTAAGTGTAGTATGGGTTGGATCTAGGCAACTTTGGATCTAAGGTTCCCAAAGATTTCCACTGTGATGGTAGACTAATCCATACAGAATTAATTGCTATCAATATCTCCATTATTGTAGCATGCGACTACCAGGATGGTAGACAGCGGACTAGATGGACCTTGGTCTTATTTTGTCTGGCAATTCCTATGTTCCTATCAGTTGAAGGTTTTAAGAGAGTTGCCCAGATACGTGGATTGTAAGAATATTAAAGGATGGGATTAGGGAGATTTTATTGCCTGGGCCATGGAATGGGCTGTAGTGGTGCAGTCGATGGACTGAATGGCCTCCTCCCATTCTGGTTTGTGTTTTTTCATAAAATTTGTCAGCCTGGCTCAGTGGGTAGCACTCTCACCTCCGAGTCAGAAGGCTACGGGTTCAAACCCCACAATGAGCTAGCTCATAGTACTGGTGGAGGGCTGCATTGTCAGGTGTGCCATCCTTCGGATAAGAAATTCAAATTGAGGTCTTCAACGTCCACCTGAACAAGCAGGTGGGATCTCAGCCTTGACAAAATTCTGAACTAAATGGTTTATTGAATTTCAGGTGAATTACCACATCAACTCCCCTAATCGAATTATAGACCGTGTGCTGCAGAACAGAAGACCAGAAGAAAATGCGATGATTAAAGGATTGAGATTGGAAAAAATCAACCAGTTAAATAAATCATTAAATATGACTATAAGGCTCATTCACACTTGAGTATGAAAAAGCTGTCTTTCAAAGTAAAATAAAGAGCCTTAATTGAACTTAAAGACGGCATGCGAGTCTTTGCATCGAAAATTTGCATCAAAGTATCATGCAGGTGTACAATAACTTTCATTTATATAGTGCCCTTCATGTAGCAAAGGTCTCAGAATAGGAAGTGGATAATGATAATAATAATCCTTGTGTTTGATACAACGCCATATCGTGTCATTGAGACATCTCAAAGCGCTTCACAGAAAATATGGAAAAGTGAATTGACTGTATTATGTGGGCGAAACGCGGCAGACAATTGCACACAGCAGTATCCCACAAACACTCATGGATTGACTGACCAAAGAGATTATTATCCCAGAAATTGATCTGTCAATCGACTGACAACCATATTCCTGCTTACTGCTGGGCAATGAGCGGCGTCAGGGTAAGGAAACTTGTCTGAGGATGCGTTTTTCAATAAGCCTTTAATCATTAGGACAAGGAATCAGAACTTTGGGCCATGCTCTCGCCATTTCCTACTGCCATTTCCTGGGCAGTTTTGGGACTAGCAGAAGGTGGCAACCCTTAATGTGGGCAGATTTCATACCCTCTTCTCCCACCCAGTCTTCCCCACTTGCACCAGAGTTTGTTAGGAATTAATATACGTTTAGAGCCCAACGTCCACCAAATACTAGCCCCCAAAGTAGCCCAATATTTTGCTCTGCCTCCAATGTGGATGGCACCCAACTCTACTTCTCTGCCTCTACCCTTGACTCCAGGACCACTGATGTCCTGACTGAATGTCTGTCAGACATCAAGTGCTGGATGAGAGCTAACTTTTTTCATTTGAACTTAACAAGACCGAGACTCTCCTGATTGGCTCCCGTCAGCGCCTCCTCACTTCAGGCTCTGACAGCATCACCATCCATGGTTGCACGGTCCTCACCTTCAAAGCCCTCCATGGTCTTGCTCCCAGCGACCTCCTAACCCCCCCACCATCCTGCCCGCTCCCTCTGCTCAGCGGGCTCCGGCCTGCTCCACGTCCCCAGCCTCGCTCACCCCACTGTGGGCGGGCAGGCCTTCCGCCACTCTGCACCCACCCTCTGGAACCTCACCCCGCAGTCCCTCCGTCTCGCTCCCTCCCTCCCTCGCCACCGTTAAGACCCACCCGAAGACCCTCCTCTTCGACCGTGCTTTCGATCTCCCTGCTTCCCCCCCCCCCCCCACCCCCCGCTGCCCTCCACACTCCCCCACCCCCGACTCCCAGCTCGGGTCTGTGACTGTCTGTCCGGCGCTTTCGGACGTCCGCCCGACGTGAAAGGCGCTTGACACACAGGTTTTACAGGTTTAGATAAATAAAAAAATTAATCGCCAAAGCCTTTTTTTCACACCCAGTCAACAAAAAACAGCCCAACCGAGCGGGAAACCGACATATCTTACCACCATTGTCCTCTCGCTTTCGTCCAATGGCTCTCCTTTACCAAGATGGCGGCCGGGTCTTCGCCTCCCCCCCCCACCCCACCCCGCCGCCGCTCAAGGTTCTCCTTCACCAAGATGGCGGCCGGGTCTTCGCCCCCCCCTCCGCCGCTCAAGGTTCTCCTTCACCAAGATGGCGGCCGGGCTCCCCCCCCCCCATGGTTCTCCTTTGCCAAGATGGCGGCCGGGCTCCCCCACCCTTGACTGCGCCTTTACGAAGATGGCGGCGGCGGTTTGAATGCCAACCGCCAGCCCCGGGCGGTCCGGCCGGGAATTGTTTCCGGGCGGCGGCGGCTTCCGGCGGAGGGTGATGCGGGCGGACAGCGGGTGCCAGTGAGGGAGGGCAGGTGAGTGAGGAGCTGCCGCCGGGGCTCTCAGTAGCGGAGCGCACGTCAGTCAGAGTCAGTCAGTCAGGAGGGCCTCACGCACTACACTCGGCGTCAGCTTCAATCACCATCGCCATCCTCCTCCTCTTCCTCCTCTTCCTCTTCCTCCCCGGGTTTTGACACAGAGCGTCTCTGCTGTAACGTTGGAAACCTCTCCCAAGCACTTCACCGTGAAGTGTAGTGACTGTGTTGATAATAATGCTGGCGTTTGACCGAACACACGCGCACACACGCACTGACGAGCACAGTGCAAAACACAGTTAATAATAATGATGATGATGATGGTGGTGGTGATGGTGGTGATGATGATGATCTGTGCATTATCACGTCCCGGATGTTCTCAAAGCGCCAACGCCGTAGAGACGTCTCAAAGCGCTTCACTGTGGAGTGGAGTGACTTTTTGTTTCGGGTGTTTTGTTACGGGCAAACCGTTCGCAAACAATGTCCCCCCCTCCCTCCCCCCTCCCTCCCCTCCCCCCCCCCCCCCCGCGCGCCCACGAACCGCCGTGGGGTGAGTGCGTGAGTTTAGGCGCTCCGGGAGTTAAGCTACACCCCCGTGTGAGGGGTGCTATCAAAATGCAAGTTGTCGTTGAGCGACGAGTTTTTATTTGGGGGGGGGGGGGGATTGTTGGTCAGAACAGCGGGAGAGAGAAACAAATAATAAGAAGAAGAATAAGTAAATAATAATAACGATCCTTGCATTTGATATCGCGCTTTTCACGTCTTCCAGATGTTTCAAAGTGATTAAATAGTGGGAACGAACGTCCACCCGAACAGGTTGACGGGACCTCGGTTTAACGTCTCGTCCAAAGCATCGCCAATAATGCAACAGCCCCCCCGCCCCAAGCTCTGCATTGGAGTGTCAACTTAGACTGTGATTCCAAGTCCCGACGTGGGGCTTGAACCCACAACTTTCTGACTCAGAGGCGAGAGTGCTACCACTGTGCCAGGCTGACACACCATAGGCAGCCAATTTGCACACAGTAACATATCCCAAACAGCGGTGAGGTGAACAGTCAAATTGTAAGTTAGGATTTCTTGGATTGTTGCAGCACAGAACTGGACGTTCGGCTCTCAATTAGTCTGTTAGTCCCTTTTCGAATGCCATGGGATCTTTTAACATCCATAGACATAACGGACCTCAGTTTACTGTCTCATTTGAACAGTGCTGTGCATTAGAGTGCCAGCCTGGACTACATTCTACAATAATGTCAGTCTGGTTGGTGAACTCTCACCTCTGAATTAAAAGGTTGTAGATTGAAGTTCCAATTCGGGACTTCTGCTTTATATTGATATAGTCTATGCTGACACTCCAATGTATTTTTCTGGGGGGGGCTGCATTGCCGGAGGTCCTTCAGATGAGTCATTAAACCGAGCTCCCATTTGCCTGTTCAGGTGGGCGTTAAAGATCTCTCAGCACTATTTGAAAAGGTTTCCCTAAATTCCCTCAAATAAAATTGGTCATTCACTTCATAGCATTTTGTGGGATGAACAGTGTACACATTGGCTGATGGTTTACCTTCAAACACAAGTGCACCCTACCTTACAGAAAAACTCGGTGAAGCTCTAGGAATGTTTCAATCTGATGAGGTGCTGTATTAAATGTAAGAATTATTAATACCTGTACTAACCGCATGGAACAATGTTAATCATTGAAGGCATTCAGTGCTGAGCTTGGTGGAAATTTAACATTGGCTGTCTCTGTCCCTGTTGTGACACTGGTTATATTAACCAGAGTCTCTTTCCCATTTGTGAAACTGTATGTATTAGGCACAGTCGTGACACTGGTTGTATTAGCACTGGTTGTCTGGCCCACTTGTGACATGGATTATACAGTATTTACAATGGCTCTGTCTCTCCGTGCTGTGACACTGGTTGTATTAACACTGGCTGTCTCTGGCCCAGTTGTGACACTGATTGTTGACCTGGCGTCTGACCTCTACCCGTGTAATTGTGCTGTTACAGATAACTGGCCTTGACTCAAATGAACATTGCAAGTCTTTCAGAGGAAAACAAAAGAAAGAACCTTTAAGAAGGAGTCATCAAGGTGCGTCTTAATAGCGACACTATGAACGAATAGTGCGGAAATGTAGAACCTTTTAAACCTGGGAGACCGGCACGTAAGAGGACAGCTGGTAAAAATTGTGTAGTATGCTTTGCAGCTCGGATACACCTGGCCGAGGCTCTGCCGGTATTGTTTGACTTCATGTCTTGAGTGCACTCTCTTGGCCTCCTTTATAACTTTCCCATTTTTCAAGCCACGAATCCTTCCATCCAGGAAACAGCTCGATTGCGTTTCAGTGCAGCATGTGATTCCGAGTGTGAGAATGGGGTGTGATATTGTCTCAGGCCACTGGGTGGCGAAGGCGAGCTTTTTGGTGTGCCATGTTTACACTTGCCGTTGGTGTCCTCCAGGGGCAAAGCCTCAGCACTGCGAGTCACTGGCCTCCCTCCACCAGCCCTACCCTAATTACAATGTGATTGCTGGCGTACGAGATCCCCACGTCTCCGTCGAAGGTATCAGCCCGGCTCAGTTGGTAGCACTCTTGCCTCTGACGCAGTCCCTCCGCCGTGCCCCCTCCCTTTGCCTCCTTCAAGACCCGCCTCAAGAGCTTCCTCTTCGACCGTGCCTTCGATCAACATCCTTCCCCCACCCTGCCCCTCCACCCTCCCCGATCCCAAGCTCGGGTCCGAAACACTGATTGTCCAGCGCCTTGGGACGTCCTTCCAACGTGAAAGGCGCTATACAAATGTAATTTTTTTTGTTGTTGACTCAGAAGGTTATGGGCTCCAAGTTTGGGACTTTGAGCTCTCAGTCTAGGCTAACACTGTGCAGGGGATGTGTTGCATTGCTTGAGGTGCCGTCTTTTGGACAAGACGACACTCGCTCCACAATCTTGTCCCCCTCCCTCTGCAAACACAGGCCTCGACTCTCCATTGAACTTTGGAACGCTCTCCTCAAATTCTTTCACGATTACACACCTCAGCAGCTTCCCACTGCTGGCACATTCTGGGTGGAGGGCCTGGTATACGAGCCAACAATCCTCCAGATAAATTGGGTCATTCACGTTATGGATGTATTTGTCTGCAAATGCATAGACCTTAACAATCATCTGTCAAGTGCTTTGGGAGATATTGAAGTTACAGATGCCATCTTAAATGCAAGGATTAATGTTATACAGCTAACTTTCAGGAACCCCTTAGATGATTTTGGAATCACATAGTCTAAGATGACACTCCAATGCATCCCTGGGGAGGTGTTGCATTATCAGAGGTGCCGTCCTTTGAATGAGACGTTAAACCGAGGTCTCGCCTGCCTGTTAGGTGGACTTTAAAGATCCCATGGCACTATTTGAAAAGAGAATGGAGTCTCTCTCTTGGTGTACCAGCCAACAGTGTCCCAAATAAAATTGTTGACTAACTCCATGAGTGTTTGTGGGACGTTGCTGTGCACGACTGGCTACCGCCTGTTTCGCTGACAAAATAACAGTCACTCCACTTTACAGTATATCCTGTGAAGCGCTTTGAGATGTCTCAGCCACGTGTAGAGTGCTATTATGAAATGCAAGGATTATTGTCGTTATTTTAGTAGCATTGCGTGCTTGTGAAATATCAGTCAGACGGTAGATGCTTTGTGTTTTTGGAGAGCTGCCGAGGGCAGGTGTAATTCCAGCCAAGAGCTGCCCTTGGCCTACGTGGCAGATCAGAGGGTCATTCTCTTTGTGCTGGAGAGGCTGCGCTGTCCATTTGCAGACCGAGCCCCGAGGGCATGCAGGCCAGGCAGCTGAGCAGGCCTCTGAGGGGTGCTCCAAGCACTGATCCGAGCAGGGCACATGTCTTCATTGTCCTCCTAATTGGCAGGGATTTGAATAACAAAGGCTCGGAGCGTCAAGCCTGAAATCTGGGCAGCAGCGTGCCTGACTCCATCCTCCGCATTCATAGCCTTCAGAAACAAAAGGGGGGGCGGCGAAGGGTAATGGGAAGCAAATCTCCCCACGCGTGCCTTATCAGTGGCTATTGGACTGACTCCCAGCACAGAACGGCACGGGCGGGCAGCTGTTCCTCTGGCTGTCTGTGCTGCCAGCTCCTCCACCTGAAAACCTCCCCCCCCACCCCCGCCCTCCACACACACACACACACACTTCAGAGCAGATGTTACAAAGCAAGCGGTTAAACAGATAGCAGTGCAGATAAAGCTGTAAACGAGGGAGGTGGACCCTTTCTAACCGAAACCTCCATCTGTCCAAATATTTGTTCCGAGGCAGCTGTAATTACATAGGAAGCGTTCAGGTCTCCGTTACCACCACTACTAAACAGCGTCCCCGCTTGAGGGGGCAGAAGGAACCCTGTTACACTGCAGTACCCAGAGAGCGAGAGCTTATTAAACCTCTCATTCACTGCCCTTACAGGAAGAATTCTTTATAGATAATCGAATGCTCTGACGAGTCTTTTTGACACAAAAGGCGCTATGTAAATTGTATTGTCAATTGTATTGTATAATAATAGTAATCCCTGCATTTGATATAGCGCCTTATCAAATCGTTGAGATGTCTCAAAGCGCTCCCACAGAATATATTGTAAAGTGGAGTGACTATATTTTGTGGACGAAAATGCATTTTGTGTGTATTTGATAATTGTGCCTTTCACATCGGAAGGATGTCTTAAAGGGCTTTCAAGGAAATTTTTGTGTGTGTATATATATAGGCAAATACACATAATAGTAATAACATATAAAGCGAATGTATAACAACTTTATTAATGTAAAAGTTAATTGGGGTGATAATATACTCCTGCACATCCAAGCTTCTCCAGCCGTTCCCCCCTCTCCCCGGCTCGGAGTTGTGCTCCCACTCCCCAAACAGTCTGGGACGTTACCCTGCGCAAGGGGCGCTATGGAAGTGCAAGTTGTTGTAATTTAGATGAGCTGTTACACATTGGAGTCCTGTAGCTCAGTGGTTAGAGCACTCGCTTTGCAAGTGAGAGACCTGAGTTCAATTCCAGGCAGAGGGCGAAACCTTGGGCAAGTTTCCTTACTCCACACAGAGCCTAATAATAATCCCTCCAAAAAACCCAAAACAATAATTAAATTGGTCATTTTCAATCTACGACTGTTTGTGGGACATTGCTGTGCGCAATTGGCTGCCGCGTTCGCCCACAAATATACAGTCAATTCACTTTACAGTGTGTTCTGTGAAGCGCTTTGGGACGTCCTCCTGACGTGAAAAGCGCTATATCAAATGCAAGGATTATTATTATTATTATTATTATTATTGGCATCATTATCCAATGGGCAGTGCCTTTATCCCAAGGACCATTGAGAGCCCTCGAAACATCTCTTTTTGATAGCCAAACCTTCTCCCCAAAACTTTCAGTCTCTCTGAGCACATCTGCCTGCTTCCTGACCCCGTTTCAACACTGCTTCAACGCCCTTCCCGCCTAACTTACTCTTTGTTCGATTTCCTAATTTTTTAACTTGTGTCCCTTGATCTTTGAGCCCTTCCCTGGTGCGAGCAATTTGTCTGCATCAGTGTCGTCAGCCTCCCCTAGAACTCTTCAAGTGAGGTCACCTTGAAGTGATGCCATTGCTCTTTCAGAGAAAAGATGTCCAGTTTCCTTAACCTCCTCATGTTAATGCCAGGTCTTGTTATCCCCAGTCACCTTGGTTGCTTCCTTAATTACGTAATCCTTACCGGAGCTTTGGCACTATCAGTGGGCAATAATATCCTTCCTGAGAAGAGGGGACCCATTTTGTGCACTGATNAAAAAAAATTTAGTCACTCAATTAATGACTCTTTGTGGGACAGCGCTGTGCGCAATTGGTGTTTAATTGTGTATGTTTGGGGTGGTGGTGGTTGGTGGAGAAGAAAGAGAGAGAGCCAAGAGTATCTTCTCTGTCGCGTCTGATTGGCATGTACTATAAGGACATATGGCTAAAATAACATGGCTCTCATTACAGGATGGAGCCTCAATAATATAAGAACATCCGTAAAATGTAAATTTGGCTGAAACGCAAGCAAATAGAATCAACTGTAAGGGATACTTAGCTGGCGTCTCAACTCCAGGAATATTGTTACAATAAAAATCTCATTACTATAAATAATCGACGGGTGGGGAGTTCACATTTCCCATATTACTTGGCCACGTTTTGTTCTGGTTAAAGGACTGTATAGGTTGGCCGGCCCCACTGTTATTCTTTCAAATACGTGATACTTTCAAGCCCTCAGCAAACCGGTTCCTGATCTGAGCGTAAAATTCCAATGCAGAAACCATTTCCCATTTGCTCCGATTGCCTAGCTATCCTGCTCCAACCACAACATTTGAATATAAAATTCAATTATCCGCTTCCTTTTTAAATGCTCAGCACATTAACTGTGGTCAGGCCGGTGCCAAGCGTCACCCGCCCGGAGACCGAGGCCGTTGTTTGGAAGTTGGATTGCCTTAAATCTGCGCAGCATCTCTGCACTGTACAGCCGCGCTGAGCTCTGCTGTGGAACGCCGGTGAGGGGAGTAGTGTACACGCTCCCCATCTCTGCACACCCTTAGGAGAAAGCACAGAACCTCTGATGGTGCGAATACTGGAGGTGCTCCAGAAAGAGTCTGAGTGGGAATAATAAGCCTTGCGTTCGAGACAGCGCCTTATCACCTCCTTGAGACGTCTCAAAGCGCTTCACAGGATATTCTGTAAAGCAGATTGACTGTGGATTTTGTGAGGAAAACTTGACAGCCATGTCCCGCAGGCAGTCATGGAGCGAGTGACCAATTTTATTTGGAGGATTGTTGGCCCAATAATGCCGTGGGATTTTTAACCTCCACCTGAACAGGCAGTTAGGACCTCGGTTTAACATCTCATCCAAAAGATGTCACCTCCAACAGTTTCATATGTTTAGAAATGCAGGTTTTAAATATACTCTTGGATAAAAGGTTTATTTCATGAATTCATTATGAGTTTGCATTATCTTATTACGAATAGTATCCTTATTTTTGATATAATAAAAATAATAATCCTTGCAATTGATATAGCGTCTTTCATGTCAGGAGGACACCCCA